CAAGAAGTACAGAACCCAAAAGAGATTGATATATAGTCCCAAAGGGGAGCTAGGGTGGGGAGTCCCGGAGCTTAACAGCTATTATGAAGCCTTCCAAATAAAGTCCCTATTAGAAATAGGCGAAGGGGAAGAGCAAAAATGGGTTAGATTTGAGAACGAGATCAATAATCACATTGGCTGCTGGGGGCCTCTTTGCAAAGTCACAAAAATAGACCTCAAACTAACCAAAGGTCCCAGACATGCAGCCTTAGAAGCGTGGAATAAGTGGCAGGAGTTATGGCTAAGAAAAACTTCAAGCTGGGCACCATTAAAATCTATAAACAAGGATATAACAGGTAACGAATGGTGGGAATGGCTAAAAGCTAAAGGGTATTATAGGATGAAAGATATGTTTAGAGGAGGCAATCTAAAACCCATACAGGAGATAATAGAAGAGGTGGGCAACCAACATTGGTTAAGAATAACTGGCCTGTATAGTAAGGTTAAAAAGATAAAGGAAAAAGAGAAATGTTGGCTAGAGGAACCAATAGAAACATTATACAAAGAGATGCAAAAGTCAAAACAAGGGCTAGCAGGGAAAATTTACAAGGAAATGACATCAAATGTAGATAAGTCAATATTGTATTTACAAAACACTTGGGCCAAAGAAGGTCAGATAACAGATAGTATGGCAAGAAAAATAATGAAAGGAACTGAGGAAATTAAAGTAATCAAATTTAATGAAATGGAGCATAAATTTCTTACCAAATGGTATAAAACACCAGCACAAATTGCAAACATGTTCCCAGGTATGAGCCCTAGATGTTGGCATTGTAAAAAAAAAGATTTAAAGCAAAAATATATTAAGCGAATGGATATGATTTATGGTCATACCCATACTAAACAAGGAAGATAATCTGCCAGGCAATATGATGGTTGGACTCTTTAGAGTCATGCAGATAAAAGCTAAAATGGAATGACCCTTATGATTGAAGGAAAGAATATAAACTATTAAAAGGAAAAATTGACTCTGTCTTAAAGTATGGCCAGTTCTTGATACTGCAATATGGATTTATAGGACAAGAAGATAAGATGAAAGAAGACATCAATAGGAGAAGAGAAAATGAGACTGTATTAAACTTGCTGAGGGAGATTTGGTTTTAAATAAGCATTTAATTAAGGGACAAAAGTTATAAAAATGAGTTATTAAGGCTTCCTGAAGTTTGCATTTTTGACAATTAACTTTGCTATTGGATTACTCTTTATATAGTCAGATTTGATGGAACTGACAATTTAAGCAATATTTGGATCATTCTTAACGTTACAAATGTTATATTAATTAGTTTTTCTTTTGTTTAAGCTTAATATGACTTCCATCTCTTTGGTTTTTAGTGGTTTTATTTACTTTATCCTGTAATTTGTAGTAACCTTTCCTTGTTTCTTTGTAGTTTATAGAAAATGCATTTTAAAAAATCCCCTTCGGGGGGCTAAAAAAAAATGAATAGCTTAGTGGAGCTCTCCAGAAGGAGGGGGGAATTGGTGAAAACTGATGCAACCATATATATATGAATACTGCTACTTTAAAAAAAGCCTAACAACACTGCTCCTACATAAGTAGGGTTTAGGGTTGGCCAGGTCCTACCTGGCCAGTGGCAGGGGGCTCTGAGATGTTCTGCCTTACGTACGTTGCACACACGGCACAATGATGTCACTTGGAAGTGCTGCCATTGAGTCGCTGATGTCGGGGGTGATGCTCTAGCTTTTGGGCAGAACTCTATGGGTTTTTTGCCTTCAAAACCATAGAGTTTGCCTCAAAACTTAAGTGTCATCCCCTCACATTGGTGACAGAATGAAGTCACTTCTGGGTGATGTCATTGCATCAGGGATGTTGTGCAGGACATCCCTGTTTCGGGGTGAGGTTTTCCCTGCCAGCCAGCTGGCTGGTGGCGAATCTAGGCCCCTAAAATCAGGGGAAACCCTGCTGGGACCTGGGGGCTGGGAACCCTAGTAGGGCTACCTGCTGCTAGGACCCTGGTAAGTCTCTTGAAATCTAGCTCAAAATCATATGCTATTAGCAGAGACGTGACCAATTGTGGTAGGTGGTGGTACTGGGACAGAGGGAAGACAGAATCTGTTCCCTCCTCTTCCATGGTCCATCCATAGGGAGGTCTCTCTCTATTTCTTAGCATCACCAAGTGAAATTCATTCACTGTGAATTAGGTTTCTTATAACTTTTGTCACATGATTTTGCCATAGTGCAATTCTAAACAGAGTTATACCCACCTAAGTCCACTGAAATCAATAAGTTTAGAAGTTTGTAACTCTGCGTAGGATGGCATAGTTAAAGGCTCCAGTACTGTGCAGCATGGAAAGGGAAAATGTTTTACGAAGAAGCTCTCAATGAATCTGATGAAAAAAGCTTTGATTCTAGAAACTTATATCCTGAGTCTGAGTATCTTGTTAGTCTTTAAGGTGCTAGTGGACTCAAATCTGTCTCTTTTTCACTAAAGAGGAAAGGGATCCATGAGGGACAAAAAGGATGATGGGGGTGGGTGGGTTATGAAGAAATGAGCTATGGGGAAGTGGAAAGAACAGGTGATAGTGCACACATTGTGTTTGGGAGACAAGAAAATATGGCGGCAATGAGCATTCAACACAGACTCTGTAGGCTGCGGACTGGGTAAGGTAAAATTGATTATCTGGAATATAAAAATTCTTCAAGCTCTTCTGCCTTTTAGAATAAATTGTTTGTACAATACTCAGCCTGTCATTCAATGTTTGTGACTGCAAGACATCTGCTATTGTGCATCTTGAGAGCTATGCACAAATATTAAATTAACTTATGATAGGAATTCCTTCTGCTTCTCATCAATCATAGGCTCTCAACAATGATGTTTTTAGAAACGTTAAGAGGTTCTATAGCCTTATCATTAACTTCCAACAATGTGACTTCCCAGCTGTGTTATGCAGGAATAAATAGCTCCCATAAAAACCATGTATTGCTTAGACTGTATTATTATAATTTTTAAAATTGTCTTTTACCTACATTTTAATTCATTCTATGAATGATACCACTAAGTAATGTTCTGGATGTATAAATGAATCCACACGAACATCAGAAATGTGCATCTGGAGCTGAGTCACTGTATAAAAATCATTACAGGCACAAGTGAAAAAAGGCAGGATTGATTTCTTCCAGCTCTCTCAATTTACTTGTTTATTCAAAATATTTATATATTGCCTCAAAACAATTTATGTAAAATGTGATAAAACAATTAAAAACTATAATTAGATTTAAAAACAACAACAGCACTACACCCCAAAAGAACACATTCAAGAATAAATTGTGAGTGTTTTAGAGCAGCTGCTATCACTGGGATACCCCTCAGGGTAGTCGCAAATCTGGGGGAGAGGGGTCACAGCATAGAAGAGTTGTGGCTCTGTGGCTCTTCATAAGAGAAAGGCCAGTGAATCGTTCTAAGTAGCAGGCATCCAATGTGAACACAGGTTGGGGGCTCCGTGTGTATCCCAGGCCCGTAGCAATGGTGATGTAAAAAGGGACAGTGCACCATCAATAATTTGTCATGCCCTTTCATCAGCACTACAGATTGGTGTGAAATCTGTCACAAGGTATTCAAGTGTAAATTCTCTATGTAAAAAAGGAAGAAGTTGAGGTAAAAAGGTGTGAATCCTGTCATAAATCTTCCAAGGGTGGATTCTATATGCAGTTGGCATGCATTTTTCTTTATTGTACATCAAATTATTACATTAATGTTTATAAAATGGAATGCAATGTTAATTATTGGATCGAATTATTGAACCATTGGATTCTTTTATACTATAGGTGAGCTGCCCTGAGAGTAGCCCTGGTGGGTACATTAAGGATGCCCTCCCTTTATTCCCACTCAATCCACTGATTTCAACCTGCCTCATAGGGCTGTTGTGATAAAATGGAGAGGAGAGTGGCTGAAAGCCACTCTGGATCCCCACTGGGAGAAAACTGGAGCGTAAATGAACTAAATATTTAAACCATTAAGAAGCCTAATCTAAAGCAATCCCTTCAAACACCATCCTTTGCCCTCATAGCTTCTGGAATTGCACTGGGTGGGGCTTCATCACAGAAGCTACTGCTGTGACTGTAGAGGCAACGAGGGTGAAGGATAGAGGCTGGGGACGGGGCTCTGACCACCCTGCAGCTGACTGAAGAAGAAGGGAGGAAGGCAAGGGGATTAATGGTAGAAACAAGACTAGTTCTTAGGGGCAAAAATGCCCTCTAAAGTGATCTTGAGAACTGTACTGCTGATTTTGTAACAGTGACCAACTACACACCCCACTTCACCCTTCCAGCTAAGCAATGAGCAACAGCTGTGTTCTTAATGGTGGGTGTGGTCAGGGAGGAGGGAAATCATTTTATTGCTTGAGGAGGGGAGGCTGGAAAGGATTGAGATGACAATGTGTCAAAATTTCCACAAGCACACCTTTTTCTGCATCATATCAAGTTCTGCCTTCAGAACTGCAATAAGCAAAGTTTGTTTGTCAATGTTGGCATGCTTCTTTGGATTATGGAAGATACAGTTAATTACTTAAACACAATAAGGGGACTAAAGGAATCAAACAGTGAACCTCCCCTCAACAGGAAAGAGGAAATGTGCCAATTAACACACCAATAATCAGTGCTATTTGTTCACCTGGCAGGCAAGATAAGCACAAAAGAATAGCATCTAGACTATAAAGGAAGACTATAAAGGAAAATGAAAGAGAAAAATGCATGCCAAGTGTTCAAATTTCCATTTCCTTTAGTCCTATCTAACAGAAGGCTACAATGGTTCATCTGGTTTTTTCCCCTGGCCACATTTTTTTTTATTCAGAAAAATGCAAAAAAACAGGATAATATCTAAAGACAGAATCTAATCCCTCACTTGACACACTGAAATATGTACAACTTCAAACACAACAAAGTCTTTGCTTAGTAATAATGGACTCTGTGGATCATAAACTTTGAGTTCAATTTTACTTCTCACCTTTCAGAGTTGCTTTCTTAAGTACCTTCATTGCATATAGCTGCCCAGCATCTGATCCTTTGATTTTCCTCACTAGAAATACCTGTAGAACAAAGGCATTGAAAAGCAATCAATGTACTTTTAAATTAAGGGTACATGTAATCAGTGTTCCCTCTAAGCTGAGTTAGTGTGAGCTAGCTCACAGTTTTTTAGCCTCCCGCTCACAGATTTTTGTCTCGGCTCAGGGAGGACGGCTCCAGAGCAAACTAATTTATGCCAAATTGCTCATTCACAACTTTTATGCCGGTAGCTCACAAAGTAGAATTTTTGCTCACAAGACTGCATAGCTTAGAGGGAACATTGCATGTTATATTTGCATAATGAAAAGTAATGGTGCAAGAGTTCTACTTAAAGTTCAGGTAAATAGTATGTTTTCCTATTATATTTGTCCCCCTTAGCAGGCCCTGAACATGGAAGATATTATTCCAGACACAAAGTGTTCCCTTAAAGGATGTTATTTGTTTCTTGTATGGCAGAGTTACACACAGGAAGCATATAATAATATAAAATATGTAACCAAGTTGATACAACAGGTATGCAGACCAATTAGGCAATCCTCCTAAATACTAATATCTGAATTTTCAATCCACTCAATTGCAGCTGGGGAGAGTTCAAAGAGCTCTGTCACATCTCCCTGGAAAGCACAACACTCATGTTCCTGTGACAGATGGAAAATAGTTTGGCAGGGTGCACCACAATCGCATTTGCAGTCCTTGTACTTTGCCCCCTTTAAACGACAGACCTGCACAACTGCCAAAGCCTGTTCGTATTCTATTAGCCATCTTCCATACTTTACACGGCAAGTAAAAACCTGCAGACCTCTCCTTGGTGTTTATCAGGTTATTGATATCGAGTGGAAGGCAGGAAGGTACTGACTGGATATTAGGGAAAACTTTTTTACAGTTGTTCAACAGTGGAATCAGCTACCTAGGGTGGTAGTGAGCTTCCCCCTTACTGGCAGCAGCTGGACAAACACTTGTCAAAGATGCTCTAGGCTGATCCTGCATTGAGCAGGGGGTTGATGGACTATATGGACCCTTCCAACTCTGTGATTCTATGATTCTATAATACATCTGCTGATGGTTCTCTTTGTTGTACTGAGCTGAACATCAAGTTTGTGTACATGGGGCTGTTGAGCCATACTGAAGCACCGTATTCTGCAACCAACCCCAAAACTGAGCATCAAAATGTTGTAGCAGATACACCCCAAGTCATACCACATAATTCTTGGAAGAATGTTGATCCGCATGCATATTTTCATTGTGACACTGCTAAGATGGTGTTTATAGCTCAAGGTTCTGTCTAGAGTAATGCCAGGGTACTTAGGTGTATGGTTGTGTGAAAGTCCAGTACAATTAAGGTAAACATTCAGTTCATGGTCAGCAAGATTGTTATTGAGATGGAAACAGGAGCATTCCGTTTTTCCTGGACTTGGGATAAGCCGCCATTTACGGTAGTAGTCAGCCAGAATTTCAAGGTTCCTAGTTAGTATTTCCTCAGTGCTTTCAATTGATTTGTGCCTTATTGCAATTGCAACGTCATTGGCATGTGAAGACTTCCTGGATATCATCTTGGCAACATCAGGGATGTATAGATTGAAAAGAATTGGAGCGAGGACTGAGCCCCGGGTAGACAGTTATTCAGTTTCTTCTGCTTGCTGACTGACTGATCCATAATTACTTGGAAAGTTCTATTGCTCAGCATGTTATTTAGGAGTCAAAATAATGTTCTGCAGGGGTAAACCTGTAAAAATGTGTACAGCAGACCATCCCTCCAGACTGTGTTATAGGTCTGGTTGACAAAAACTGCTGATGTCTTAAAGACACTTCTAATACCCTGCCTCAATGAAAGTTGTTAAGCTGAGAACCTGGTCTTCACAACTATGATGGGGTCTAAATCCTGCTTGCTCTTATATGGACATGTTCATTGATTCTGTCACTTATTCTGTTCAGAATTAGCCTCTCAAGGAGTTTATAACAGGAACTCAGAAGGGAAATGGGTCTGTAACTTTCAGCCAGATTTTTTGGTTTTTCAGGCTTCAGAATAGCAACTATCTTTGCTTTCTTGAATTCCTCTGGGAGTCTTCCTGTTCTCATGATGTCAGTGAGAAATTTTGTGAGCCACTTCTTAGTGAACATACTGCTGTTGATCAGGAACTCATTATGGATGCAGTCAAAGCCTGGTGCCTTCCCTCTCTTGATGTCCTTCAGTGCCTTGCAAATCTCATCAGCACTGAAATTCCCTGACAGCTCACAGTCTTCAGGGCAGGTGTGTTTCAAAATCTGGAGTTCTTTTTTTATCCTGATTGTAAAATCTCGATTCTTCAGAGCTATGGATAGGGATACCAGTCAGGCAGCTACCTGGTTTGATGTGACCTCTGGTTTTCCTCAGCGCACAGGTGGGCTTGCACCTAGTTTTTTCAGCAGGCTCCAGGCTTTCCTACTGGAATGCCTGAAATCCAAATTCACAGTTGCTTCAGTCCATTTTTGTCTATGTGTAGCTGATCTGAAGGTGCTTCTGTTTTTAATGTCAAAAACGAGATGCAAGCCATGTTCTTCAGCCCAGTCAACAAGCGCCTCACCATTCTTATCATTAACCATGTATCTCCAATTTCCATGGACACTGTTAAAGTGGGGGCTGTTAAATTTTCACTCTGTGGTGGGCTTGATTTCTGTTATCAAGATGAGTTCCTTGAACAAAAGCTAAATCTATTTTATTGACCAGTAAGATTCACGACAGTTCCACTGGAGAAGGAAATGGCAACCCACTCCAGTATCTTTGCCAAGAAAACCCCATGGACAGTAACAAAAGGCTAAAATATATGACGCCGGAAGATGAGCCCCTCAGGTCAGAAGGTGTCCAACATGCTACTGAGGAAGAGCAGAGGGCAAGTACAAGTAACCCCAGAAAGAGTGAAGCGGCTGAGCCAAAGCCGAAAGGACGCTCAGTTGTGGATGTGTCTGATGGTGAAAGGAAAGTCCGATGCTGCAAAGAACAATATTGCATAGGAACCTGGAATGTAAGATCTATGAATCAAGGTAAGCTTGACGTGGTCAAAAAGGAGATGGCAAGACTGAACATCGATATCTTAGGAATCAGTGAACTTAAGTGGACAGGAATGGGCGAATTTAACTCAGAAGACCATTATATCTACTACTGTGGCCAGGAATCTCGTAGAAAAGATGGTGTGGCCTTTATAGTCAACAAGAGAGTGCAGGGGGCAGTACTGGGATACAATCTCAAAAATGACAGAATGATTTCGGTCCGATTCCAAGGCAAACCATTCAACATCACAGTAATCCAAGTCTATGCCCCAACCACTGATGCAGAAGAGGCTGAAGTGGACCAGTTCTATGAAGACCTACAACACCTTATAGAACTAACAGCAAAAAATGATGTCCTCATCATCATAGGGGACTGGAATGCTAAAGTAGGAAGTCAAAAGGTAACCGGAATAACAGACAAGTTTGGCCTTGGAAAGCAAAATGAAGCAGGGCAAAGGTTAACAGAGTTTTGTCAAGAGAACACACTGGTCATAGCGAACACCCTTTTCCAACAACCTAAGAGACGACTCTACACATGGACATCACCAGATGGGCAACACCGAAATCAGATTGACTATATAATTTGCAGTCAAAGATGGAGAAGCTCTATCCAGTCAGTAAAAACAAGACCTGGAGCTGACTGTGGTTCAGATCATGAGCTACTCATTGCAAAATTCAGACTTAAACTGAAGAAAATTGGGAAAACCACTAGGCCATTCAGGTTTGACCTAGATCGCATCCCTGATGAATATACAGTAGAGGTGAAGAATAGATTCAAGGGTCTGGATTTGATAGATAGAGTGCCTGAAGAACTATGGACAGAGGTTCGTGACATCGTACAGGAGGCAGCAATCACCACCATCCCAAAGAAAAAGAAATGTAAGAAAGCAAAGTGGCTTTCTGATGAGGCTTTACAAATAGCAGAGGAAAGAAGGAAAGCGAAAGGCAAAGGCGAAAAGGAAAGATTTACCCAACTGAACGCAGATTTCCAGAGAACAGCAAGGAGAGATAAGGAGGCCTTCCTGAATGAACAGTGCAAAGTAATAGAAGAAAACAATAGAATGGGAAGGACTAGAGATCTCTTCAAGAAAATTGGAGAAATCAAGGGAGCGTTCCATGCAAAGCTGGCCATGATAAAGGACAAAAACGGTAGGGACCTAACAGAAGCAGAAGAGATTAGGAAAAGATGGCAAGAATACACAGAAGAACTATACAAGAAAGACCTCAATGTCCTTGACAAACACGACGGTATAATCACTGACCTTGAGCCAGACATCCTGGAATGTGAAGTTAAATGGGCCTTAGAAAGCATTACTAACAACAAAGCTAGTGGAGGTGATGGTATTCCAGCTGAGCTATTCAAAGTCTTAGAAGATGATGCTGTTAAAGTGCTGCACTCAATTTGCCAGCAAATTTGGAAAACGCAACAGTGGCCACAGGATTGGAAAAGGTCAGTATACATTCCAATCCCAAAGAAGGGCAATGCCAAGGAATGTTCAAACTATCGCACAATTGCACTCATATCACACGCTAGCAAGGTCATGCTCAAGATCCTACAAGCTAGGCTTCAACAGTACGTGGATAGAGAACTACCAGAAGTACAAGCTGGGTTTCGAAGAGGTAGAGGAACGAGAGATCATATTGCCAACATTCGCTGGATTATGGAGAAAGCAAGAGAGTACCAGAAAAATATCTACTTCTGCTTCATTGACTATGCTAAAGCCTTTGACTGTGTGGATCACAACAAACTATGGCAGGTCCTTAAAGAGATGGGAGTACCAGACCACCTCACATGTCTCTTGAGAAACCTGTATAAGGGCCAAGAAGCGACAGTTAGAACCGGATACGGAACAACTGATTGGTTCAGCATAGGAAAAGGAGTACGACAAGGATGTATACTGTCACCTTGCTTATTTAATATATATGCAGAGTACATCATGCGAAATGCTGGCCTGGATGAATCACAAGCGGGAATTAAGATTGCTGGGGAAAAGATCAA